ACAGGCAAGAGGATTGCCAGAGTCCAGGGGTTCTAAGGATCCTCTCTCAACTCATTGTAATTGTCTCCTCTTGGGAAAATTTTTAAAATTGAGAGTAAAATATTTTCTGATTCTAATAGTCGTTAGGACATTAACGACATGAAGAGACTTGACTGCAGCTTTGGCATGGTGATTTGTTTTTAAGGCTCTAGCAAAAAGAACAGCCAAGTGTCACTTAAAATTGAAGCGGTGTTTTAGGAGATTTTGCTTGGATGAAAGAGCGCAAGCCCTGAGCCCCTGTGCTCTCAGGGAGCAGCAGATGTGGGTGCAGGGAGTGAGGCTGAGCTCGGCCCCCGGGGCTTTTTATACACTCTCGGCCCCTTTCTGCTCTCCTGACATTTCCTCCGCTCCTCAATATTTTGGACAAGAAGGCACCAGAAATGCCAAGAAGCCATTGTCTGCCTTCTGTCCTAGACCCTTCCTTCATAATCGAATCGCCTGGAGCCTCCGTTTAAAATGTCACAACCACCGAAAAACGAATTTCCCAGACCACACTCCCTGGTGACACTGGGCCCCAGTGTGTGCTTTCAACAGACGCTGCCCAGTGATTGGGACGCAGCTCACGGACTGCTGGGAGGGGCCCAAGCCTCCTCAGGCCGCTCACTCTTGGTGCCTGGAGCTCTGGGCACCTACTGTGGAAAATGAGGTCAGCGCGGTTTCTAGGAGGCACAAGAAGTGCTGTAAATCCCAGCACTTGGGAGGCTGAGGCGGGAGGATTGCCTGAGGTCTGGAGATCCAGACCAGCCTGGGCACCGTGACAAGACTCCATCTAAAAAAAATAAATTTGTTTTATTTTTATTTGTTATTTATTTAGTTTATTTTTTTGAGTTGGAGTTTCACTCTGTCGCCCAGACAGGAATGACCACTGCAGCCTCGACCTACTGGGCTCCGGCGATCCTTCCGCCTCTGCCTTCCAAGTAGCTGGAACGACAGGCGCGCGCCACCATGCCCTAACTTTTTTTTTTTTTTTTTTT